AAGGAAGGAAGGAAGGAAGGAAGGAAGGAAGGAAGGAAGGAAGGAAGAAAGGAAGGGAAGGAGGGAGGAAGGAAAAAAAGAAAGGAAGGCAAAGGAAGGAGGGATGGAGGAAAGAATGAAGGGAGGGAGGGAAAGAAGGAAGGATTAGAGGAAGGGGGAAAAGAAAAAGAAAGAAGGATTAAAGGGAGGGAGGAAGAAAGGGAGAGAAGGAAGGAAAAAAGGAAAGGAGGAAAGAAGGGAGAGAGGGAAGGAGGGAAGGAAGGAGGAAAGAAAGAAAAAAGGAAGGACAGAAGAAGGAAAGAAGAAATCATTTATTTAATGCCTACTTTGTGCCAGGCACTGTGCTAAGTACTTTACAAATATTGTTTCATTTGATTCTCACAGCAACCCTGGGAAGTAGGTGACATTATCAACCTCATTTTATAATTGTGGAAACTGAGGAAGACAGAGTTTTTTTTAAGTGACTTGTCACTTAAGGGTCATACAGCTAATAATTGTCTGAGGTCAGATTTGAACTCAGGTCTTCTTCACTCCATGCTCAGAATTTTATCTACTGCTACCCCTACCCGGGGCAAGAGACAGAAGACCAGTATGTCTTTGCCATTAACTTAGCTGTGTGACAAACCCAGGAGGAACTTCTCTGCGTCTTAGTTTCATAGAATTCTAGAATGTCAGAGCTAAAAAAAAAAGCTTCTAGGTTTCATTTAGTCTAACCATTTCCTTTTTTATACTTTAAAAATAGAGATACCTTTTGTTTCAATGCAGCAGAGCCTTTCTAGCAAACATCTAAATAATGCCCCCTAAACAAAAAACAGTGAACTTATTGATTATTTTTAAATGAGGGATATAGCTATTTCAACTTTGACAGTATCAATTTCAATTTTAAAAAGAAAGAAACAGGCCCAGAGAAGTTAAATAACTTTCCCAAAGTCACACAGTGAACTTGTAGTGAAGCCAAGTATTGAAATTGGAGTCTCCTGTCTCCTGGTCCAACTCTCTTTTTGCTTTCTTCATCATCTCAGCTGTCAAGTGGAGATAATTGTCTCACCTCCAATGTGGGAATTCTCTTTATTAAGATAGGATCTTGTCTAATTTAATCTGAGCCTCCTCTCCCTTCCCTCCTTCTACCTTGCACACTCCATTACACAGAATGGGCTCTCAAGAAACATTTGCTGAATGCTGTGGGCATCACATGAGGTAGTAGGTGGGAGGGTGCTTTGAAATCCCAAATATGTGAAATTGTTATTAGAGAGACAGAAAAGTTATGACAAAAATGGGGAAGAGTAAGGAGGAGAGAAACTTTAGAGAGCTTCTGGTCCAACACCTCATTTTACAGATAGATAAATTGGGGCCCAGAGAGGTGATGGGGTATGTGCAGAACCACACATCTAAGTGATGGCAGAACAGGGTCCAGAGATCAAGATTTCTGACTCCTAGGTCTTTCCATTCTACTGTCCCCAGGAGGCTGGTTATAGCAAATGAGAGAGAACAGAAGAGGGAAGGAAAATGGACTTTAGTATATGGACAGGGACTTTGAGGTGAGCCCATTGGATTGTGCATCAGCTCAGAAGAGCTGGGAGAGAAATATCTCATTGGTAAAATGGGCACAGAGACAGAGGTTGGGGAAAAAGTCAGAGGAGCTTAGTAGGGACAAAAGTAAGGGGGAAAGAGTAATGGGCCTAATCTTGAGGAAAGTAAAGAATCATAGACTTTAGAGATCAAAGGGACTTTAAAGATGTTTTTAATCCAGGAGTCCTTAACTTTATTGGGTAATGTCTGGTGAAGTCTTTGGGCTCCTTTTCAGAATAATGTTGTTATATTTATTTAATGTTTTATTCTTCCCCAATTTACACATAAAAATTATTTTTAAGATTTGTTTTTAAAATTTTTGAGTTCTAAATTCTCTCCCTCCCTGCTCTCTCCCCTCATTGAGAAGGCAAGCAATTTGATATAGGTTATACATGTGCAGTCATGCAAAATATATTAGTCATGTTATAGAAGAAAATACAGAACCCCTCCTCCCCTCAAAAAGAAAAAACAAGGAAAACAAAGAAATTTTTTTTAAAGTATGCTTTGATCTATATTCAGACTCCATCAGTTCTTTCTCTGGAGCTGGATGGCATTTTTCATCATAAGTCCTTCAGAGTTTTCTTGGATCACTCTGTTGCTGAGAATAGCTAAGTAATTCACAATTAATGATCACACAATATTATTGTTCCTGTGTACAGTTTTTTCCAGGTTCTACTCATTTTACTTTGCATCAGTTCATGTAAGTCTTTCCAGGTTTTTCTGAGAGCATGCTGTCCATCATTTCTTATAGCACAATGGTACTCCAGCACAATCATACACCATATCTTGCTCAGCCATTTCCCAATTGATGAGCATCTTCCTCAATTTCCACCACAAAAAGAACTGCTACACATATTTTTCTACATATATATCATTTTCCTTTTTGTTTCTTATCTCTTTGAGATTCAGAACTAGTAGTGGTATTTCTAGGTCAAAAGGTATGCATGATTTTATAGCCTTTGGCCATAGTTCCAAATTGCTTTACAGAGTGGTTACATCAGTTCACAACTCAACCAACAATGCATTAGTCCTGATTTTCCCACATTTCCTCCAACATTTGTCATTTTCCTTTTCTGTCATATTAGCCAATCTGATAGGTGTGGGGTGATACCTCAGAGTTGTTTTAATTTGCATTTCTCTAATCAATACTGATTCAGAGCATTTTTCATATAACTATAGATAGCTTTGATTACTTTGTCTGAAAGCTACCTGTTCATATCCTTTGACCATTTATCAAATGGGGAATAATGTTTTTAAGTACATAAAAGAAAATACACAGGATTACAAAGGAAGCAAATTATAATGATATAGCTATCAAAATATTTTTAAAAACAAGTTCAGGCTGCCTCCCTCCTCACTCCCTCCCCTTACTTCCTTCTCTGACTCTTCACCCTTCCCTTTTTCTCACCTTCCCTCCACTTCCCGCTCTCTCCCCCTCCTCTCCCATCCCCATCCTTCCCTCTATCCTTTCTCCTTTCTCCTTTCCCCTGCCTAGACCATGCTATGGTGGAGATGGCCAAGAAGGCCACGGAGCCCATCGATGCAGACATCATGGGGCTGTGCCAGGACACATTTTCCAAAATGGCCTTGTACCTAACAGGAGAGCTGACATCCACCAGTGAAGACTATAAACTTCTGGAAAATATGAACAAACCAACTAGCTTGAAGTATCTAGAAATGAAAGATATTGCAGTAAACATCAGTAGAAACCTAAAGGACTCAAACCAGAAATCTGCAGCCCTTCAGCCTCATCTGGATCAGATCACTTTAACTGAGGAGCAGGTAGCAGCTCTTGAGCAGGCAGCTTACCAATTGGATGCATATTCAAAGAAACTAGAAGCAAAGTACAAGAAGTTAGAGAGGCAATGAAGGAATTCTTTAGCACAAAGACTTGTGCTACAAGAATGTTTCATAAGAACTGAAATAAGTGGGGTGGAACTTATCACTATGCTTCAGTTCCTAAAAGGAAGTGGTGCTGCTCATCCAAGGAGAATTCTAGTCCCCACTTCTGGTTGGAGGTGTAACTCTGGCCACCCCTGGATGTTTCCTAAACCTGGAGCCCCTGGAACCTCATCTTATTGTGTGCTTCATTGTGTGCCCTGGACCACGGCTCAGAAATCAGGATCAACCCTGTCAGGAGCAGACACAGAGGAGAGGCTCTCATCTCCCTGTCTCCTCCCTTCTCCCCTCTCCCCTAGGGCTCCACCTTAGACTCTGTTATGAATGTGCCCCCTACTCCCTTCATAACCTGTTCTTCAACTTAAATAATAAATGCCAATTTATGACCCTAAAAAAAATCAAGTTCACCTCCTGATCCCCTTTCCCTCTTCTGTACTCATATAAAGGAGGAAACTGAGGCTCAGAGCCTTTCTCTAGGTCACCAAGAGGGCAAATCACAGAGCATGGATTCTGACCTGGGTCTTCTGATTTGGGATCCAAGGCTGTTTTTATTGCATCATGGAAGGCCCAGTGGCTGACTTCACCAAACTTAAACAGACTCTTATGTTTCAGAATAAAAGATGCTACAATGAAGGCCATTTATGTGCAGAATAACCAGCTCTTGGCTGGAAGAGTGCAAGCAGGAAAACTTATTGAAGGTTAGTTACAAAACCAATCTCAGTTTTGCCAGGCTTTCTCCATATTGTCTCTTGGGAGCACAGAAAGGTCCACCATGCAGATTAGCACAGTCTCACAGGCCCAGGCCCTAGAAATACTAGTTATATTTAAAGTAGAATCTTAAGAGTTGGAGGACACCTTGGTTCCAGACTTCATGAAGTCATTTATCCTGAAAGTACAAATCAAAAGTCTCTAACAAAGAGACTGTATCTCAGCAGGTCCCCAAACATTCTTATACTATGCTGCTATGACATTGGAAAGGCTGGGAACATTTTCTTACATAGAAGGAATTTTCTCCATATTTGGGTTTTGTCTAGGCCAGGCCCTCTGCTTTCCTGGGAGAAGAGATTGGTAGTGGGTCTTTGCTTCTCCACTAGCTGATAGAGATGAAGTAGAGCATATTTTTGCCTTTCCCATGCACTGGTCTAATGGTTGAAAGAATCTGGGTACAGGTAGTCATATGCTCTGGAAAGAGAGGATGTAGCTGAGCAAGGCAAACACATTTGTGCCTTGGGAAGGAGGCAGAGTTTTCTCTTCTGTGTCTCTCTGGCCTCATGTCTTCTGCTCATCCAGATATCTGGTGCGTAACTCAGAACCTCATGGAAGACAGCAAGCACCCACATTCCAGACCTTCCATTCTGCCTTCTGCAGAAACTTATAGCTCTGTGTCTCCAGTTGTCAGGCAAGAAAGTATCTGGATAAGTAATCCCTTCAGGACTCATAATGTTCTAGCCCTTTGAGAGTATTTGCATTTTCATAGAGTCCAAGCACCATGGAAGGCTGGTGTGGTGTGTGCGTGTGTGTGTGTGTGTTGGTAGAGATGTTCAGGAGAAAGATTTTCTCATGGCATCCACATAATAGCCTATCAGTATTACATGTCTTCTAAATGATGCTCAGGTGGCATAGACACCTTTCACTGATGTTGAGGAAACTGGACACCACTTCACAGTTGTGTCTTCAACAAAGAACTAGAACCTTAAAGACTCCTAGATCTAGATAGATGGGTACCTTAGAGGTCATCTAGTGCAACGCTTCTTAAACAGTGGGTTGCTACCCCCATGAGGCTGTGAAAAATTTGGCAACAGTAAAAAGGTTTCTGAATGCACAACAGCCAAAGATTAATTAAAAATCAAATGCATAATGAACCCGAGGTGTTTCTGGCAGTGCTTGCCCATATTGCATCATGCAACTTCACTGCAGTCTTGGTTCGAAACACAAAGCATGGGCATTTTGCGCTGCACATGCCCTCAGGCCATGCAACACCTATGTACTCTGCTGAAACTTGAAAAGGGATCACGAAAGGGAAAAATGTAAGAAACCCTGATTTAGTTCAACCTTCTCCTTTTCTAGCAGAGAAGTTAAGTGACATGTCCAAAATCTCACAGCTTGTTGTGACATAGCTGAAATTTGAAATCAGGTCACATGACTCCAAGTTCAGTGCTCTGTGAGTAACACACAAAATAAGCCAAACTGAGTGAATGAGTGGATGGCACTCAAAAAAAGGGAAGCTCCTTTATTACAACACTCTTCCTCCTTGGTGGAGGGTCGTTCCACTCCCCCATTCAAATGAATCCAATCAGAACTTTTTTTGTCCTCCTGTTCAGGCAGATTAAATCAGGTCGCATTCCCTGGACCAGTTAGTTAGTAAGGGTACATTTAATCATTCCAGTCTGGCAGCCCCTTACTTTCTCCCAGTGCTACAGGTAGGAACTTAGGGGGCCCTGCTCCCCAGGCTCACCCATAGATTAGGAAGTTTAGAAGAGAGGTCCTCTTTTTCTCCATCTGGCCCCTTTTTCTAGGTGAAGAGATCAGCGTGGTCCCCAATAGATCACTGGATGCCAAACGGTCCCCGATTATCCTGGGCATTGAGGAAGGATCCCAGTGTCTGTCAGTTGGTATGGCTCAGCAGCCTATTCTCCAGATAGAGGTGAGTTCTGACCTGCAATGCCTCCAAGAAACCTGAATCTTGGTTTACAAGACATAGTCTTGGGTCAGGACCCAGGACAGCAGTCAGTTGGGATTTGCCCCTCATTAAACTAGTAGTGAATGTTTGGGGGGGGTAGAGAAGCCCCATCTATGCTAACTTCTAAATGCCTTTGAAGTTTACCTCCCCCAGGGAATCCTTCAGTGATCCCTTCTATCCTCAGGGAGGTCAGTAGGCTCAGAAGATAGTCTGCCTACGTCCTCTGCCTTAGCTTCTCCTCACTATTCTTGCCTCTCTGCCCTCAGCATAAGAACATCATGGACCTTTATCGCAGCAAGGAAGAATCCAAGAGCTTCACCTTCTATATGTATAACACTGGGCTTACCTCTAGATTAGAATCAGCCATCTACCCAGGCTGGTTCCTCTGCAGTATCCATGAGGAGAACCAGCCCATCATCCTCACCAACCATCCTGACGATTCTGAATCTGTCATCGCTGACTTTTACTTCCGACAATGTGACTAAGTTTAACTTCTCCTAGCAACCCATTGGAGAGATGGCTGTGCCTAGCCTCTGGCTCTTAGCTTCTTTCTTCTTCAGATCATAGAATTTGAGAGTCAGAAAAGAACATCAGCAGCCATCACCAAACCTAGAATCAGGAGGATCTGAGTTCAAATGTGGCCTCAGATACTTACTAGCTGTGTGACCTGGGCAAGTCACTTAACCTCTTTTTGCCTCAGTTTCCTCATCTGTAAAATGGGGATAATAATAGCACCTAGCTCCCAGGGTTGTTGTGAAGATCAAAGAGATAATATTTGTAAAGCACTTTGCAAACCTTAAAGAAGTATATAAATACTAACTGTTATTACTGTTGTTGTTATTATTATTTTAAATATGAATGAAAGGAATCAGTTATATAACATATCTGACAAGTTGTCATCTAGTTTCTTTCTGCTGACTTCCAAGCACAGGGAACCCCCCACCATTCTACTTTTGGACTACTCTGATTATTAGGAAATCCGCCCATCCAAAAGAAATAAAAAACCCTCCAACCTAAATTCACTTCTTGGAACCCTGACCCAAGTGATGACAGGGAAAAACCTAGGTTTTATTCACTCTCCTCTGACCTTCTGATCCTTACTCTCTTCTTCATGAGGGCTGAGCACATGGGGACCATCCATTCTCCAAATATTACCCAGGCTGGAGCAATTCCTCCAGCTTAACTCCTAGAAGGATGGATTCCCTATGGTTTTTCATTCGCTTCCCAGGCCTTTCTTATTGTTCAGGGAATCGGGCTCCTTGAATGTTGCTGCATCATGTCAGATTTAGGAGGGAAGCAGCTTAAATCAGCAGCTACAGGTACTGCACTGTGAATAGCAATGTGCCCCTGGACCACACACTAGTCTCTACAGGTTGGTTCACAAAGGCCAGATGCCCACATAATATATATGACGTAGGATTTGGGAACTGAAATGCTTCCCATGTTTTGGCATCACCAATTTTCTAGATGACCTTGGAAAGGTCATAAGATCATAGATTAAGAGGTAGGAAGGAACTTAGAGGCTATATAATCCAACCCCTTCTTTTTATTGGTGAAGAAACTGAGGCTCAGAGAAATTAAATGATGTGCTCATGGTCATATAGTTAGTGTCAGTGGTGCCATAGTGCATAGAGCACTGGGCTTGGAATCAGGAAGACTCATCTTCGTAAATTGAAATCCAGCTTCAGATGTTTACCAGCTGTGTGACCCTGGACAAGTCATTTAACCCTTTTGCCTCAGTTTCTTCACCTGTAAAATGATCTGGAGAAGGAAATGGCAAACCCCTCCAGTATCTTTGCCAAAAAAAAAACCCCAAATGGGATCACAGAGAGTCCGACACGTTGAAAAATGACTAAACAACAATAACAAAAGAACACATTGCTTCTTCATCTTCAACCTACTGGCAATATGGAACTGTAACTAGGACACAAGAAATTCATATAAAAGTTTCCAGGAAGCTTGTTGGAGGAGACCCATATTAAATCAAAGTAGACCATAGTGAGATCCAGGTTTCTAACCAAATCTGGAACATTTTCCCCCCAGGATATGCTAGTTCACTCTTAGGTATTTATGTTATTTATTGACATTCACTGTGGCTTTGATCACTCACATGATAATAATTTCCAAAAATATCCCCCCATGTAAATTACTCCTCTTTCTCTGGGTCATAATTTGTTTATCCATAACACAAGAGAATGAAATGAATTGTCTTAGAAATCCCTTCCAGTTTTCTCATTTTGTTTCTATGGTTCCTACACAAATAATTCAATTCCATAATTAAGTAAAGTGTTTGATTGTTCTTTTAAAATTACCTGAAGAATTTTTTAAAAATAATAATAATAGAAAAAATCTGGAACTGATAGTGAAATCACTGCCACTAGAGAACAAGGTTCTTGATATTTTGAGGACATTTATTCTGATTTGTCTTTTCTAGTTTTCTTTTTAAATTTTCATCTATTTATTTCTTTGAAGAAGAATGTATCATCTCTCCCTCCTGCTTCCTCCCCCTACTAATTAATTTAAAAAACCCTTACAATAGATACACGTAGTCTGGCAAACAAATTCACATTTTGGCCATCTAAACAAATGAATGTCTCATTCTGCATTTCATGTCCATCGTTTCTCT